GACCAGCTCAAGACTCACTTATTTCATAGACCTGAATGAGACCTTTGACCTTTGACACAAAGATAAGGGAATGGCTGAGACAGTACTATGAAAAATACAATTTTCACAAAGAAGCAACAGGGTAGAGTGATGAATCCAAGTTTGGAAGGCTTGGGTTCAGCCGCCAACTCTTCTGCTTACAAGCTGTATGACTTTGGTCAAGTCACACACTGTATCTAGACCTCAGTTTCCTCCTATGTAAAATGAGAAAGTTGGACTAGTTGATCTTTGAGGTCTCTCCCACTTTTAAATTGTGCCAACAATTTAAATTGTGCTCTGATCTAATAGCAAAGTACCCTGACAGCAAAATCCCTCTGATGTTCTTCTTGCCCAAGGCCTTGTACAGTTTGGCAATATGATCTGGCACACACAAAATCCCTCAAGGGAAGATTTACAGTGCAGAAGAAATGCATTCACTCACTGAGAGGGCAAGACACATAGATGCACCCAACCTCTATCACAGTTCTAACGTTAAGGAACTACAGTTGGTCCCAAGAGAATTGAGGACTGTTCCCACTTTCCTTTTTCCACTAAAGGGGTCCTTTCACTAGTCCAGACCAGGTTTAACCCCAATGGGCCATCTTCAGTATTTTGCCACTGGACTCAGATGGCTCTGGAGGAAAGAGTGTGATTGGTGACTTTGCACAGCCCTGCCTCACTTAAATCCAATTCACTTGCAAGATTTCACTTTCCTGATGTCATTGGTCCTCTTCAAGAATGAAGGATAAACAATAGCAGCCCTAGGGGAAACCCAAGCTCTAAAGAGAAGTTAGGTTTCCCTTTCTCATGTGCTTTGGCTAATTAAACCCCCACTTCAGAGCCCTGGGGAAAACTTGTTTCAAACTTAGGTGCTGAATCATATGTAAGTCTCCCCAGAAGAGACAAGTGGAAAAGCTATTCAGTGTACGGAACCAGTATTTATTTCCTATACACAAAAGAAAAGCAAAAGAACACAGAAGACCCACAGAGTACAATGATGAAAAGACTTAAAATAGGATTTAAGTAACTTAACTAATAACCATAGTCATAATCTTTCTGAAATATAAATCATTCTGTGGCCTCACTGAATAGGCATTCTACATTTCGCCTAGTCTTTGTACCATCTAAAGAAGGTCCATATCTTCTGATAAAACAAGTCATGCTTGGGGTAGGCCTCTTGTTGGTAGTTATCTTCTCCACAATCCTTGGAGCAGTTGTTGGAGACTCTTCTTGCTACCAGTCAGTTCCAGTCAAAAAGACCTAGAACATTTGGACCTCTTGAACTTAAAATGGTGCCTCCAAGCTTGGACATGGCCACTTGAAGCTTTTATAGGCTGTACATGTGCATTAGATACCATGTGCTTACAGCTTCCTGGCAGCCAGAGTGAGATATAAGACAAACTCACCCTCTAACACCCTGCCCCCCCTGAAGCACCTTCAAATTGTGCTGGCAAGATCTGTATCTGGAAGAGAAAAGAGCACTGAGGGTGAAGTCACTTCCTTGTAAATATTTATTGAGTCTTTAGCTCAGTGGCCAATGAGGGGATCTGGTTGTCATTATAGTACAGGTAGAAGGGCCTGTGGGAATGGTAAGCAGTAGCTGTAGCCAATATCCCTCCTGAGTATATCAGCCTCTCTACCCCTGGAGCTATCTACAGCCAGACCATGGAGAAGTAAGATGTTTAGAAACTAGCCTTCATCCTACTGGCTGTGTAGAACCTCTTGGTGGGGTGGGGAAGGGCGGTGGGAAAGTGGTGGGGCAATTGGAGGGGGTGGAGAAGGGAGGGGCAGGGTGGGGAGAGTATGCTGAACTGCCTTTAGTCTTTGACCCTTCCAATATGTCCTACATATTTCAGGCCAATGACTTCAAATATTGCAATAATTTTCAAGAAAGTTTTAGATTTATAGGCATGGATATTTCCTCCAGCAAAGCACATGGCAACTCTTCTTTAGTGAATGGGTTTTTAAGAGTTAATGTGGCTGAAAATGTCATCATTCTGTGGCCAGCCATGTGATTAGCCTCTCACTTGGCTGGTACTTACCCAACAGACATACAGTAGTCTATTACCAGGCCCATATTTGAAGCCTTTCCAGCTTGGTATCTTTTGAGAACCTTTGTTCAGAGTCTGTCACAGTCAATAAACATTTCTTAAGCACCTACTATGTACCAGACACTGTATTAAGTGCTGGGACTACAAAGACAAGCATAAGATGATCCCTTGCCCTAAAGAAGCTCACAATCCAAGAGAGAGACAACATGTAAAAAGAAGGTGAAAATTGAGGTTGAAGAGAACCTGCTCAGTGACACGGTCCTGCTGGAAAATTAGCTGAGGAGATGTGAATTATACAGTTGAATTCGTCTTGCAGAATGGAGATCAAGAAAGCAGGCTGGGAAACAATTACCTTCATGACATGTGGCTTCATTGACAAAGTTTCAGTGGCATCATAGCTAGATTAACTTTCCTCACATACCACTTTCATTATGTTATCCACCCACTTGAAACCTTCAGTGGTTCTCACTGCCTAAAGGATAAAATCCAAACTCCTTATTCTGATGTTGTGATAGTTAAAATCTTCCACAATCTAGTTTAATCTTTCCAGTCTTAAGTTCTGTAATTCCTCAATATGAATAGCCTTCTTCAATGAGTAGGTCTACTCAATATTCCTGAAATATATCCTTGCAATCTCCCTCCTAGGATTCTCACTCACTTAGAGCAAGAGTTCTAAGGTATAGTCTATGAATTAAAAAAAATATATATCTTGATAATTGCATTTCAATAAAATTGGTTTACTTCTTTGCTGTTGTTGTTTAGTCGTGTCTAACTCTTTGTTACCCCATTTGGGGTTTTTTTTGGCAAAGGTACTGGAGTGGTTTTCCATTTCTTTCTCTGAGTCATTTTACAGGTAAGGAAACTGAGGCAAACAGGGTTAAGTGACTTGCCCAGGGTCACACAGCTAGTTAAGTGTCTGTGGTCAGATTTAAATTCAGGTCTTCCTGAGTCCAGGCCTGGTGCTCTATCCACTGTGCCACCCAGCTGCCCAGTTTACTTCATAATCTTATGTATTTTATGTTATATATTTAAAAACACTATTTGAGAGGAGATTTATAGGCTTCAGATGGCCAAAGAGAGCTGACCAAAAAAAAAAAAACTCTTAAAGATCTATGTCTTCTCTCTCTACCAATGTAAATGCTATCCACCCTGGCATATTCAAGATAGACTCCACTCCTTCAGTGAAACTTCCTCTGACCATCCTAAGATTCTTCTCTGTCTCTTCTCACAACTAATATCATATTTATTTCATATTAGATTCATTTGACACATGATTTAATACTTACTATTGCTTGTTCCCTTTTTATAGTTTCCTAATTAAGTAGTTATCCTCAAGAACAGGGATTATGTTTTATATATTTCTGTGAGCCCCTCTTGATTCTTAACATAGTACTTTACTCAGTATACACTGAGTATGAACTATTTATTGACTGATGTCCTTCTTCTCATCACTCTATATAGTTCCTGAGTGGCGATTTGATATGGATCTCCAACCTCAGAATACCCCTTCCTGTGAAACTGAACTTTGTGATTCTAATTATGATAGTTGCAGTGACCCTGGGTAAGTCACTTCATTCCCTTTGCCTCAGTTACTCATCATAAAATGAGTTGTAGAAGGAAATGGCAAACTACTCCAGTATCTCTGCCAAGAAAACCCCAAATAGGGTCACAGGGAGTTGGACAGGACTGAAATGACACAACAACAATGCTATCAGAAATAATTAGGGATATTTGCAGGTCTTGGTTAGTAGCAGCTTTAAGAACTTATTTTCATGTGGGTTTTATATTGTAATGTAGCTGCCATTTTCTTGATGTGGGTGTCTTTTTTCCCTTATGACATAGACAAATGTTGATGTTTACTACAAGTTGCTACATTAGTTGCTAATTAAGTTGCTAGTTGCTTCAGCCAAAATTTGTTGTATTGAATCCAAGAAAAGAATGGCAGCTTTATCAAAAATAAAATTTAAAAAAAGAAAAGTTGTATATTAAAGAGAACTGGGAACCTACATGCTAGGAGACAGGAATCCTTCCCACTTGGATTCCTGATAAACATAAAACAACTTTACCCTTGTTAGGTCTGTGCTTGAAAGTCCCTATGCAAATGAAGGGGGAGAAACACCCTATTTTTGTCTGCAAGGTTCTAGGGAAAGCTATGCAAATAGGCTTTTGGTACAATGGAAAAGGCCAGCTGGGTGGTGCAGTCAGTGGAGGTGGATCTGAAGTCAGGAAGGCTTATTTTACTGAGTTCAATCCTGACACGAGCTGTGTGACCCTGGGCAAGTCACTTAACCCTGTTTGCCTCAGTTTCCTCATCTGTAAAATGAGCTGGAGAAGGAAATGACAAACCACTCCAGTACCTTTGCCTAGAAAACCCCAAATAGGGTCATGAACAGTAGGACAGGACTGAAAGAATTGAACACCAACAAGACAATGAAAAGAGCACTGATCTGGAGTCAAAGTATGGGGTTTCAAGTCCTACTTTGAACTGCTTAAATGACTTAAGTCATTAAACCTTCATGGACCTCAGTTTCCTTATCTGTAAAATGAGGAAGTTGGAGTAGATGACTGCTGAAGTCCTTTCCAGCTCTATCTCTTTCCGTCGCTGATTTTGTGATATGAGACAACATTTTACTTTGGGACAAATCGGTTCATAGGGGAGTTTAGGGCTTTTTCATAAAGTACCTAGGAATCTGGCATTGTTGTTTGTCCTTAGTTTTTCCAAGGGGTCCAGTGATCTCACAGGGTGATGTCTTGACTCATGCTTGAATTGGATTAAAATGAGGTAGAGATGCACAAAATTGTCAACCTCACTCTCTCTTCCAGAGTCATCAAAATTCAGTGGCAAAACAAAAGTCAAGACAAGCGGTGATGCAGTGTATAACCTTGGCATCTTTGATATCTGACTAAACTCTAAGCACCCCTCAGCACCTCCTTCAGCTGCCTTCGTAGTTGGTCATGAAAACCAACTGTTCTCATTCAGCCATTCCTGGGGTTGGAGGAAGTCTTCACATGCTTAAGGTAGACATCCCCTAACTCACCAATGGGTTTGAGGCCTATTGGCTATTCTCAACCTGGTTTAGCCCATCTGTAGACATGCTTTTACTGGGGTGTGGCTGCTGTGTATGCTGTAGCTTCTTGGAACCACAGGTGAGAGTTGGGGGACAGATAGATACCAAAGGTGGATGAACATCCCTTAAAAGGGCTGGGCAAGCTCTCACACCAGAGGTGTGAGTCTGGCATTAGGGATCATTCAGAAACCCCAGTCATGTCACTCTCCTCATCACCTTTCCCCACAGACTTCATCCCTACCAGGCCCTACACTTCTGAGGAAGAATGAAAACTTAATTATACTCAGTATGCAACACTCCAAAATAAATAGCCCAAATAACACTCATTTTATTCCTTGTAGCAGGGTCTGTGCCAGATGTTCTGTTGCGGCACCTTCTGTTGTTCAAAGACTGTTAAATGGCATAGTACATGGAGTGCCAGACTTGGAGTCAGAAAGCCTTGAGTTTGAATGCTGCCTCAGAAACTTACTACTTTATCTCTCAGTTTCCTCACCTATAAAATGGGGATAATAATAGCACCTTTTTACAGAATTGTCATAAGGATCAAATAAAACAATATTCATAAAGTGATTTGCAAAGCTTAATGTACTACATAGATGTTAGATATTATTATATTATCTAATGGTTTATATGAAATAATTTGAGAGTTAGTTAACAGGGAAATCTCAATTCCCATGTTGAAAGAAAAAATATGTGCATATATGTATATATATATATGTGTATATATATATATATAGATAGATAGATATAGATATATTTTAGGGCAACACATATAAATAAAGCCTAGAGCATTAACACAACTACTCTCAACAGCAATAAGAAAGTTAGGAAGAGAAAGGATTGGGGAAAAGATAATGATTTCATTTTTTGGACATGTAGAGTTGGTTTTTGGGTTTTTGTTTTTTTGGTTTTTGGTTTTTTTGCTGGTCAATTGGGGTTAAGTGACTTGCTCAGGTCACGCAGCTAGTACATGTTGTGTGTTGTGTGTCTGAGACCGGATTTGAACTCATGTCCTCCTGACTTCAAGGCCAGAATTCTATCCACTGTGCCACCTAGCTGCCCCTGGACATGTAGAGTTTAGATGTCAACAGGACAACCAATTTGAGATGTTTAATAGGCTGTTGGAGATAGGAAACTGGAGATGATGCGAGAGATTAGAAGGGAAACTAGGAGACAGGAGTGTCACAAAAACCTGGAAAAGAAAATATCAAAGAGAAGAGGATGATTAACAGTGTCAAAAGCTGGAGAGAGGTCAAGACTGATGAAGAACTAGCAAGTACATTGTATTTACGAAAGATTATTTTCTATTACTAAAAATAAGACAAAATAAAAAAGAGGCCTAATTTTAAAGAGAAATAATGAGAAAAGATTTTAATCAGTACCAGATGTGAAATGAATAGAGTAAGAGTGAGTTACCAGACAAGTGATGTGGTCAGTTACTGTAATATTAGTGTTTGAAGTGACATAGGCTGTGATACTGGCCAGAATGTTGTAAATAGTTACATATATCTTTATGCTTATTATTTTTTCACTCATTGTACATATGCTGTAATTTTAATATTTATTTAATAAGAATAATTGCTATTGAGAAAGGAGTTTTATCCATTCTATTTCATTTAAATAATTAATTTTTAGTGAATAGAGTAAGGGCTTGAGATTAATTAATATATTATGTTTGTTAATGTAAAATAAATTATCAGCAGCTCAGGATAATTGCATTAAATATATAGCAGGAAATCAAGTGGAAGTCTGAAGTTGGGCAATCCACAGGTGAGAGGGTTGACCAGATTCTGTATAATCTATGTTACACTTAAAAATTAATTCACATTGACATAAAAGAAAACTATTGGCCACCTATTTTCACTGCATTGATATGTTCAATTATTGGGTTTTGGTTTCACTTTTTTAAAGACTCCTCTTAGTAAGTTTAGAGGTAGTCTTCCTCTGCTGTATCCCACAGATTCAGGCCCAGCTCTGCTCTGTCCAGGGTCCTCAACTTCTACCTGTGCTATTACATGAGGCACAAGAGCAAATTTGGTCATGTATTCCTGAGGTCTGAGTTTGAGCCAGATGGACAACTGAGGTATGCCAACAACATCCATTACAAAAATGACGTCATGATCAGAAAAGTGGCATATGTCCATAAGAGTATGATGGAGGAACTGAAGAGACTCATTGATGACAATGAGATTACAAAAGAAGATGATGCTTTGGGGCCTCTGCCTGACAGGGTGGGCTGGCCAGGAGCTTGAAATTGTGTTTGGAGACTCACACATTTTTTTTTTTTATCATATCCAAAATTGGCTCCCTTATTCATGTGAACCAGTCCAAGGATCCTGAAAGTTTACAATTGTTTTATTACCTGGTCCAGGACCTGAAGTGTTTAGTCTTCAGTCTTACTGATTTGCATTTCAAGATTAAGCCTATCTAGGCTTTTTTGTTAAAGTTTTTGTGTATGCTTAGATGGTGGCTTTTTTTTTTTCATTCTCAATGTCAAGACACTTTTGTGTAAGCTAGGAAAATATGTTTTTTTTATGCTGTATGATTGTCTTTAATAAATATGCAGGCGAAAAATTATATGCTTTCTCTCTTCAGTGGTATACAAGGATCCTTCCCTTTCCCACCCCATATTTCATTGAAAGAGAAAAATGTCTCCTGTTTAAAAGAAATTTTTTCTCAATCTTGCATCATTCCCAATAATCAGAGGTCAGCTACCATGGGTTTTCTGCAGGGGAAAGAAGAAGCAGTAAGTGAATAATTTGGACTATCAATGAACAGAGAGAGCTCCTTTGTCAGGAATAGAGCAGGATGGGAAATTAAGATATCAGTTGCCCACTTTGGCCATGGCTCTGTGGTTTATCTCTTTTTTTTTAACCTCTAGTTAAATATTTTCTGTCCCAATCAACAAAACTGGTGTGCCTTTGGGTACACCAACTACTTCTTATCCTTATTCTTAATGGTTCTCTGGGGCTTGTGGAAGTTCGAAGAGTTGTCCTCATCTTGATTGCTTTCCCTAAAGCAGTTTTAGCAGTTTTCAAACTTTTTGTTCAAATGACTCCTTTACAATCACAAAAATTATTGAGGACCCCAAGGAGCTTTCTCTTATGTGGGTTATATCTATAGCAAAGGTGTCAGACATCTGGGCAGCTAGCGATATTACAAGCTGCAATGTTCTCAGTGCTGCCAGAACCAGATTAAAATGTACCTGGGAAACATTTAACAAAATAAATTTAATATACAGTAGAACACAGATAATGTTAATTTGTTTTCTAAGTCAATATGCTACCAGCTGGGATCCTTATATACAATTTAGTGACCACTATTTCTATTTGAATTTGACAGCACTGACTTATATTGACTATTTTAGATATTAAAATCTATATTATTTTTATAAAAATGGTTTTTACTTCACAGACCCCCTGAAAGGATCTCCAGACACTTTGAGAACTGCTGTTGTAAACTAAGAATCACAGGATGCCCATCAGACCCAGTTCTTAGACACTCCCCAAATTAATAATCTTTTTTGAGAGCCCAGACCCATTGCTATTCAGCATAGAAATTATACCAACACCCAAATCAATTCAACTAACAAAAAATGTATAAAGGGCCTATAGCCCATACTTCCTCTTGGTGTTGATAGGGGCCTGTCCCAAACCAATTAGAAAATAAAATTAATAAAACTAAAATAAGCAATTAATAATAATAGGGAAAAATAATAAGGAAAGACCAAGTTTCTCTTCTCAAAAGAAAAGCACTCAGGTGAACCTCAAAGATGTATCTGTATAATCATACATGCTTAGTGAGTCTTTCTTAAGTTATTCTAATTCCTGTCATAAGAGAACTAACAGTCCAAGTCTTCTCCAAAAATAAAACTCCTGTCTATGAGATGTACTAACTTGTTCCTTGCTAAGACAAATAATCTAGCTCTAAAAATAAAATAAAATATGATGAGCTTCCAAAATGTATAGGACTCTTCCTAAAATGGATTTGTTACTTGAGATGGATTGGAAGTTGACCCCTTACCCTCAGGTGAAAAATCAATTTCCCTGATGGATCCCTGCAACACCTATGGCAACAATTTATTCAATGGATCCCTGGAGTTCATAAGATAATCCAAAATGTAGACCCAGATGGATTGTCCTCACTTATCCCATGATAGGGCAAGATAAGTTACCTAAAAGAGAAAGAAAAAAAAAATTAAAGCTTAGATGAGTCCGTGTATGTGGGGAGATTGAGTGCTTGAAGTTAACTGAATTTAATTCCTCAGATTCAAAATGAGTACCTAAGATATAACCCATAGCCCAGGCTCCTCAGATCCTCTGGGCTCACACATGGTGTTTGCGGGGGGGGGGGGGGTGTTAATCCTGGTGGCTGATCCAGGACAATAATTTTCTATTTTGGGCTTATTGCTTCCACCTAGAGTTACTTTAGAAACATTCTCTTAAATAAAAGTATAGCTTTTATCTAGTTTTCCCTAAATATAGATAAACAGTATTCCCAAGTCCTATATAAACTGTCAATAAACAGCCTACATTTCACCCCACAGAAGCTGCAAACAATGCAGAGGACACACAGGAGCCCAGAAACAAATAGAGAAAATACATAATTCACTCAAACGTGTCCATAGACATCCCATAGAAGGTAGTCTCATTTGGGAGATGCTTGAATGAGTAACCCTTTTTCTTTGCCCTGTATTGTCTGAATCATTGTAAATGTGGACACTGGTACCTTATACTGCACTTGTAGCCTCAGTGTCCATGTGGGCCTTTATTTTTCCAAAAGGCAATGTTATCTGGGAAAATTACCTCTAGAAGACTAAGTTTCTCTTGAACTTGGGAGCTCTTGAACTTGAGCTTAGCCTTGAGGCAACCAAGAGTTAATTGGATTCTGCCCAAGAAGTCTCCCTTCTCTGGCTAGGAGGCAAGGTCACAGGTGTTTTGTTACATAAGAAGATCTTAACCACACCCCCAGCTCCTCCACTTAGGTCATTGGGGTTTATGAGAATTGTCCATCAACTTTGCTCTTGGGCTGAGAGGTCCATCATATCAATCTTATGTGGTGGTGTAGGAACTTAATCACCCTAGGGACTGTAATCTCTTGGAATGCAAAAATCCTTTATCAAGTTTCTGGTCTACAGCCTGTATTTAGAAAGTTGTAGACAAGCATAAGTGGTTCCCAAGTTCCCCTACTCTAGGCAGCCTTTACCAATTCCAGAGGCGAGGCAACTGGGTGAAATGACATGCTCCCTCTCCTTACCACCCTAAATAGAATACAGGCCTGATCTGCTGTGAACCTCTCTGTCTTCTAACAGGGAAGAGGTCAAAAGACAAAAATAGAAGTAAAAAGAAAAATACTTGGTCTCTCAGTTCATTTTTGTAGATCACAAGCAGAAGCAACTTTTCTAGTAAGATTTTGGTCCCTTGTTTTTACACGAGCCAATCATCTCCAGTGACTAGAAGCCAATCAGAAGTTGTCTTTGTCTTATTTAAAAAAAAAAAAGGTCAATGCTTTTTCTTTGGGGAGGTAGTTTCTTGACCCCAAAACAAAGGCTCCTGACCAGAATACTCATTAAATTGACTTAAATTGACCTCTGATAATCCTCCTTTGAAAATCTCCTCAAAAAAAAAGAAAGAAAGAAAATCTCCTCTAACACATAATACAGAAAATAACAAGTACTGCTAAATAGCATAAGTTAAATGCCAGAGTAGTACAAATAATGAATGCTACAGAAGTTCAAAGAGGAGGACAATCACTGATCTCAAGAAGGTCAATGGAAGAGTCTCTGAAGAGGAAACACAATTTGACCTGGGCCTTGAAGAACAGGTAGGACTTGAAAAAATAGATATAGGAAGGTATTTTAGAAATTCAATTCCATTCAACCATCTGATGTGAGCAAATATACCAAGAAATAACCATGTGCCTGGTGTACTAAAGGAGAAAAAAATGAATTGACCCATGGAGTTAGTGGTGAACAGTACTGACAAATAAGATTGCAGAGGTGGAGGACAGATTATGGTGAGCCTTGAATGTCAGGCTAAGGATCTGGAAATTTGTCAGTGGACTGTCACTGAAATTTTTTGAATGACTTATAGGTAATGATGTGCTTTAAACATTTTTATTGGAACGGTGTATAAGATTGATGGGATTGGGGATAGACTTGCAAGCAGGGGAGATGTCTACTCCATAGAGGAGTCTTTACCTGAGATGTTATTCCAGATGGTAGGGAACATATTCTATTTATATGTAAAAGAAACCTGGGGAAACTGAGTTCCACACCCTCCTCCCTTCCCCTCCTTAGGCTATATATAACAAAATAATAGGAGCATACTTTAATCTAAAGTTTTACCAATCTCTCTTTACCTGTTCATCCTGAAACATGTCTTAAACTGAAATGTTTTAAAAATCACTTTTATTGAAAACTAGTTTCTAAAGAGAAAGGCCTGATCAATCAAGGAAGGACTCCTGCTTGAAGTAATTACAGCAATGATTTATGAGAAGGAAGAAGTTTTTTATTAAGTCAGTTAAAAGAAGTATCTCTTGAGTTCACCAGCTACTGACCATCTGCCACCCATGAGCATCTAAGGCCAGACGTGGGAAACTTGCAGCCTCAAGGCCACGTGTGGCCTTCTAGATCCTTGGGTGTGGCCTTTTGACTGAGTCCAAGTTTTACCCAACAAATCCTTTTATTAAGGGGATTTGTTCTGTGAAGTTTAGATTCATTCAAAGGGCTGCACTTGAGGAACTAGAGGGCCACATGTGGCCTTGAGGCTGCTGGTTCCCCACTGCTGAAAGCCCAAGAACCCCAGGAATGGCAGCATCCCCAGATCACCAGTCTTGTTTCCAGTTCATTCCATCATTCCAAGAATTTCTTTTCCCTCCCCCACCCCAGGACATATAGCAACTGCTTCTGTGGGTGCTTCAGCCACAGCTACTGAAGGCCAAGAAAGGAAAATTATTGCTTCTCAAGTCTTTAACACTGTTAAATTGTTCAGCATCACAAACTGATATGAGTTAACCAATGAAAATGACATTGAATATGATGTATTACCATATGCTTTGCTATTACAACCTAAGGACCCAAGACTTTTCTATCTGACTTGCAATTGAAACCTTATATCTATGGATTCTTCCTCATTAAAATGTGAGCTCCTTGAGAGCTAGAACTGTCTTAAATTTCTATTTGTGTCCTTAGTCCTAACTCAGTGCTTTGCATATAGTAAGTTTTTAATAAATGGCATTCATTCATTCATTCATTCACCTTTAGAAGCAGTGGTTAAAGAGGGATTGAAAGTTGTTATATCATTTGGATTTGATAAATCTGAGTGTTACCTAAATTCTGAACCTTTGTTTAATCTTGACTGTAAAATTTTGTCCTTGTTTCTGAAAACTATAAAATGTATGAAGAGCTTGCCTGTGGAGGGAGAGTTTCAATTAATATGGGTAAATTTGCCATTTGTCTCCCTCTCCAAGAAGCAATGTGTGTGTGTGCACGTGTGTATGTGTGTGTGTGTGTGTGTGTGTGTATGTATATACATATATATGTACACATACCCACATACATACATACATGCATGTACATATATACTTATATAAATATATGTGAGTGTGTATATACATATATGGCTAGCTTTAAGGTTTGCAAAGTACTTTATATATGTTACTTCATTTGATCCTCATGACAACCTTTGTGAGATAGGCATTATTTTTATCCTTATTTCTATGAATAAGGAAACTGAAACTCAGAGAAGTAGAAGTTCCTGAAGTCACAAAGCTAGTAAGTGCCTGAGGCTGGATTTGAACTCAGGTCTTCCTGACCCAAGTCCAATATTCTATCTATTGTACCACCATATACATTAATAAAATGTCTCTGACAGACGAAGTCTAAAACAAAAGTACTAAATTTTTTCTTACACACACACACACACACACACACACACACACACACACACACACAGAGGAATTCCTTCACCTAACTCTGATGACTACAGCCTGGTCTTTATAAAATTTGACTCAACTGCCAGAAAATTTTCCTTACAACTATCCTGAATCTATCACTGCATCTGTTGGGAACAGAACAGTTGATTATATACGTCTTTCACAAACTTGAAGCCTTTTCTCAGTTTCCTCTAGAGCAAGCAATTGAAGTTAATTCATCTTTTTTTATGTGTTTTCCCCAAAAGCTTAAACTAAATTTGGAAGAGCCCCTTGAGATCATTTAGTCCAACTCCTGCATCTTACAGAGGAGAAAATTAATGTCTAAGTAATCAGTCAGTCCCTGGGGTGGCAAATTTGGGAATGCACTAGGCACTTCATGGACACTTATTTGCCTTTCATGCAATGCAGAGCTTCTTCTTTGTTTATTCACAAAAGGCCTAGTTTATTTTCCTTTGAATATGTATGTTTGTATGTATGCACCCTTCCCCCAACAAACAGCCTGGCTCCACCACTTTCTCTGTAGAGACGGAAACCCCGGAGACCAGGAATCGAAACAGAAACTGTCCCAGTTCAAACTTTAAACACTGACTTCCTCTCTGGGAACCAGTCGGAAGTTTGGCAACTGAAGCAGCAGAAACTCGGACCCTTGAAGCAGAACGCAGAGAGGGGACAGGATAGTGTCACTGTACGGAGCACCGCCACAGGTGGCAACTACCGGGTCCGATTCCGCGGAGTAGCCTGGTAGAGCTGTGTAGTTAGTTGTCTTTCAGTCTGCGCGGAGTCCTTGGAGGGCAAGGCAGAGGGCACTGAGGTCCCAGCAGGCAAGCAGAGCTGGGCGCACTTTAAACCCTACGATCAACTTCGAAGCAGAAAGAACGAAGTTCTAAGGACACCAAGGAACGCGCAGAGGTGAGAACGCTGAGTGACTGCATCTCCAGGGCCTGTCTACCTGTGAAAAATGTCAAGTGAATATTCCCGGGAGGAGAAGATTTTCCTTAATCTGATCCGGTGCTTGAGTCCGAGGCTGACACAATATATCCAAGTGGAACCAGTGCTGGACTACCTGACTTTCCTGGGGAGAGTTGAGAAAGAACGTATTCAGCACACCGCTGCTACTAAGGGAAACACGATAGCCGCAAGGTTACTGTTGAGCACATTAGAGAAAGGGACCTGGGGACCTGGCTGGACTCAAGTGTTTCTCACAGGGCTTAGGAAAGGGGGCTGCACTTTAGCTGCTCGATACATGAGCCCAGACCTCGCTGACTTGCCTTCTCCATCGTTAGAGACCTGTTATGATCAGTGTGCCCAGCTGCTGGACATTTTGCAACCCACCCTGGTCGACAAGCTTCAAGCTACTGATGTTGTGGACAAATGCTTGGAAAAGGCTCTGCTAACGAAGGAAGATAGGAATCGGGTAGGTGCCTCTTCAGATAGAGTCCTTTTCCCCCTTTGGGTGTGCAGTTGTTACAAATGGAAATTCCTGTGTGTACTTGTGTGTGTGCACATGTGTGTATTCTATTCCAAGCATTCTTTGGGGTACATTTGACCAAATTATTCTTTGATAGCTCGCCTGGGAGGGTGAAAAGAGAAGTTTGAGGATTAGAGGACCTGGGTTCAAATTCTGTCCATCTCTATGATCTTGGACAAATGTGAAATAGATGGGGCTCAGCAACAGATTTAATAATAGTAATAGCTAGTAGATGGAAGAAATGGGAGGTGAAAGATTTAAGATGAAAGAGGCTTGATACTTATGATACAGGTGTTCCAGAGGGCATAGTGGAAGGGTTGGGTGGTGTTCGGTTGAAACTGGGGTAGAAGGATTGACTGGAATAGGAATGAAGAAAGGATGGGAGTGGAGAATGAGGTTTAGATGAAGATAGGAGTTGAGTGACCTTAGTTGTAGCTCCAAACCTTTTGGGAAAAAAAGTGCAATAAGAGTGAAATCCTATTAAATCTATACATAAAGATCTAGAATCTTGATCTATGAACTGTTTTCATATAATTGGTTTCCTTTGTAATCATATGTATTTTATTTGTTCATTTAAAAGCATTATTCCAAGAAAGGGGGCTGTAGATTGCATCAAACTGCCAAAGGCATCCATGTCTCACACACACACACATAAAAACTAAGAACCTTTACTCTTGGTAGATATTTTGTTAGCCCAAGGAGTCAGATGTGTTCCTCAGACCCCATAACATAACTTTTTTGCTTGTTTCTTGGGAAACTACCCCAAGAGCATAATGTCAGAATAAATAATGAACAAGAACCTTTAAAAAAAATTAGTCATGAGTCAAAATCTTGTTCTGAATTCACGTTAAGCAATGTGTTCTATGACCAAAGTCAGAGGTCATGTCTTGAAGGTCTCACCAGTTCAGCAATTTTTAAGAGCAAATTAATTTTTTAGACCATCACTGCCATTGAGTTCCAGGGAATGCATTAATCGTTGTTAACAGTCAATTCGGTTTGGTCATTTTATGATTCATATTCAATCAACTTTTTATAGTCTTGGCAAAGATTGAAGCCGAGATATAGATTTAATGGCCCAGTTTAACTGAATTATTTAATTCTACTCCTCTGTAATCTTCATGTTGTTTTGTGTATTGAGAACCAGAAAGATCACATTACAGTAGTCCAGCTGGATATGACAAATGTGTACATCACTGTGGCAGAATCTTATTTTGGAAGAAAGTACGCAGCCTTCAAGCCAGCTGGAGATGGAAGATGGCATTTCCAGCCACGGTAGCTGTTAGGGAGTCCAGAAGCAACAGAGTCCAGTAACACCACAAAGTTGTTTATATTTGCTGGGTATACTCTTCCAATTGCCAGTGAAGTGGCACTTCTCATTATTTACTCTAAATACTTCTGCCTATCAGCATCACTTTTGTCTTGCCTGGGTTGAATTTCTGCCAGTGAGATTTCATCCAAGATCTGATTCCTGGCAAGCCCTAGGACAGCTGGGAATAACGCAAGGGGACTGACACAAAGGCGCTATGGAGTTAGGTGGCATTTGGGTATAGATGGCACTCAAGGCCAGAGCAACTCCCAACCCATAACCTCACCCAAATAAAGATTTCCAAAGAGGGGGACCATAACTAATGGAGAGCTGTATCTTTCAGGCTCTCTGAGGAAGATAAGTTTGCATGTGAGCCTTTGGAATATTTCTGAGACAAACAACTTTGCCCATTATAATGTATTTTTAGTTCTACTAAAGGATATGGTTGACATTGTCAGGGGTAGTATACATCTAAAAGACTACATATTAGCCCGTGGAAGTACCAGTGAATTTTAAATTTCTTACTAGAGGCAGGCTTTTTAGGCCATGTATCTTTTTTTTTCCATATATCTTTTTTAAAAGATTAACATGCAGATACTTTTCAACTGGCTTAAAATCTAGATAAAACACTTGTGTTGAATTTTGAGTCTTTACAGATTATATGTATCTTTCTGAATGATTCATGAAGAAAGACATCGTTCTGGCTTAAAAAGATAATAATGGATAAACTGTTGAACTAATTTGCCAGCATGCCTTACTTATGCATGTAAAATCCCCAATTTACTTTGTGGTGAAAAGTACATGATTTTTTGATATCTTAAGTTAAAATGTACTGTTTCCACAGAAGTCCTATTTCAGGGTCTCATTGTGGTATAAAGGTAACCCTGGGGTTTTGAGATTTCTGCTGGCAAAATTCAACTCAGATAAATTCCACCATGTGGCAAAGGAGGCTGTGAATACATTCACAATGACAGATTGAATCTACTTTTGGAGGGCCATCTTAGCTACACATGGAGAGGCTGATCACTAGTAAGCTGGTTATTAGATGATCAATGCCTTAGCCATAGTGATCTATGGGGAAATAAGTGTTCCCCAGGCCTATTAGCCCTCATTCTGCTTCTTCAATGACAGTGGTATGATGGTGCTAAGAAATCACAGTTTTTACACTATCTAGAAGCATGAATTTAATTATTGGTAACTTAAATGTCAGATCCTTTTCTAGTAACAAATGAGTTGACAGTGAGCTGCTATGGAAAGACAATTGGGCTTAGATTGAGGAGATCTAAGCCCTGAGCCTAGGTTTTCTACTACTCATGTTGGACAACTCATGAACTTTTCTTGCTAAAATTGGTTTTCTCATCTATAAAATAAAGGATATTGATATCCAAGGTCCATTCCAGCTCTAAATCTATAATCCTACCAGTACTGAAATTCTCATTAAAATTAAACCAGGAGACATAAAAAAGTAGTAGCCAAATGGAAGGATGGGTTACAGATTCTTCTTGCAGAGTTTAATAAAGAGGTGGTGGAATGTGTCCAAAGGCAACAAGAAACATAACTTTATGGGATACTTGGTCATCTAGTATTGCCATACTATTGAGCACCTTTGCAAAAAGACCAACGTGAAAACTAATTGTAGCTCATATGCCAACACCTTTTACAGAGTATGGAAAAGAGAGAAAGCAGCCCACAGAGAACTCTATAAATACCTCCAAATTAAATTAACTTTAATACTCCATGACTTCAAAGCAAAGGTGGGCATGAAAAAATGTGTTTGGAAATATGGCTCAAAATTAATACATGGAAGTGGCCAAAAGCATGTAGACTACAGAAGCATCACACCTATATATAGAAAATACCTTCTTGAACAGGAGTATAGGAAGTCAAGCACTGATATGATGACCATAGTTGAATCTGATTATGTTTTAATACAGAGGAAATGATAGCTTACTGATGTGGGAGTCATTTCCAGATCAGCTATCTGTATATAATCAGATCATTGACTTGCTAAAAAAAAAAGTGCAACATTTAAAAAAGATTAGAAGAAAAATATAGATGTTATGGCGTTTAATTAAAACAGCTCCATTCAGACAAATTTTAAAAAGTTATTTACATCCGCAGACAAAAATGGATGAGGGATAAAGCAACAGACATTGATACAGATATTCAATTTCTAAGGAAGTTTAGCTGATGTAAATCAGTTGCTAGAATAAGAAGTCTAGAGTAGCCCAGAAACTGCCTTAAACAGTTAGTTCTGGCCTACTCCTAAAATGGACTGTATGATGAGACTGTGTCTTAGTTAGCCAAGTCTGTGGAATCCTCTGACAAAAGGCTGGCCATTTTAAATTAAAGGATAAAGGCATGTGACATTTAAAATGTTTGAAACATTGTTTCTGGGTAATTAGTAATTTTATTAATAATGCTAGCATTTTATCAATAAAAAGGTCAGTGATACTCTCGAATGCCAAAGACCTCTCATGGAACCCACTCAACCCTTAAATGCCCTTGGAAAGGTGGGTGTTCCTGAGGGTGATGGTGGGCTCTGATTGGTTAAAAAGTAATAAAACAGACAGTTAAGTGGCACGTTGGATAGAGCACCGGCCCTGGAGTCGGGAGGACCTTAGTTCAAATCCCTTTTCAGACCTGATACTTACTAGCTGTGTGACCCTACGCAAGTCACTTAACCGCAATTGCCTTGCCCAAGTTAAAAAAAAAAAGTAATGAGAGAATACATTTTATAATGAGGTAGGCTTATTCCAGTGAGGGTCTTGAGGTATATCACACTGAGCACCCATATCTTGGTTGGGATTTGTCAATTTCCAGTTTGACAAAAGGGAGAATCTACATTTTCCCAGACCTGTTTGAGTAAACACAGTAAGCAGGAATCCACCCATCCACTTAAACTTAGAATTTCTTTACTGTCTTTGATTAGCTCTTACCCTGGTTAAATCTTTGCCCAAGATTTCCCACACTCGTTGATTTCTGGATGAGGAAGTAGAAAAGGGGGAAAACCTTGGTCCTAATTCAATAATTAATTATTGAATACAAGAGAGAAATAACATTTCTCTTAGCATCCTTCTACTGAAGATGAAGGAGAAATTGAGGAGCTCAAGGAAATGTTACTAAGCACAGAGACATGATAGCTGAGAGCAGTGCCAGTTTAGAATGTCATCTCATCTTTATAATCTGATGGAATAGAAGAGCAAAATATAAGCAGCATTACATCATGAAACAATGAAATGCACTGGATAGAAGAAGCAAGTTACAGTAGAAAGACTACTGGCTCTGGAGTCAGAGGACCTGAGTTCAAATTATGCCTCCTACACTGATGATCTATATCTATAAATAACTTGGGCCTCACTTTCCTTATTGATAAAAAGAGACTACTAGATGGCTTCTGAGTTCCCTTCTTGATCTAGTTTTATGACACTCTGAGCCTTTAAATATTCCAACTTCATAGGAAGTTTGGCAAAGTACCTAATTAATCTCTACCCATTAAAGGATGAAACAGGAAGGACAACAAAGAAACAAAAACTGTTAAAAGATATGTAAAAGTTTCTATAACAGTTTTCTCCCTCAGTGACCACAGGGCCACTACATTTGTTCACAGTCCCCATCCCCAATGTGCTACATGAGGAAATAGAGATGGCACAAAGAAAACCCATATAGAAGAGGACAAGACCAAGTGTGCACAAAAAAGATCCTGGCTGGAGGGGATATGATTTTAAGATCGTCAAGGGATCAGTTCCCAAGCTAGACAAAGGAAGTGAGGAGGGAATTTAATTTAATTTAATTTAACTTTATATGCCAACTTTTACTTTTACTCATTGCTTTTAAGTGGCCAAAATTTCACCCCCAAAATCTAGATTTATAGTAGAAAGTTCAGTTTGACCTTACCAAAGTTCTTACTAATTAACACTAGAAATTTTTCATATGGTTTCTTTTTTTGTAATAAGTTCTTTTTTATTATTTTATTTTCCCCCCAATTATATGTAAAAAAAAAATTAACATTCAGTTTTAGAACTTTGAGTTACAAATTCTCTTCCTTTCTTTAACCCCATACCCTTCATTGAGAAGGCAAGCAATTCAATATAGGTTACACATGTGTAGTCATTCAAAATACGTCTCCATATTAGTCATGTTGTGAAAGAAAACATAGACCAAAAAAAAAAGCCTTAAGAAAAATAAAGAAAGTTTAAAAAAAAGTATGCTTCATTCTGTATTTAGACACCATCAGTTCTTTTTTGGGGGATGGGTAGCATTTTCATCATAAGTCCTTCAGAGTTGTCTTGGATCATTGCACTGCTGAGAATAGCTAAGTGATTAACAGCTGATCATCTTACAATATTGCTGTTACTTTGTACACAGTACATTTCACTTGCATCAGCTTCTGTAAGTCTTTCCAGGTTTTTCTGAGAGCATCCTGCTCATCATTTCTTTTAGCACAATAATATTCCATCGCAATCACATACCACAATTTGTTCAGCCATTCCCCAATTGCTGGACATCCTGAGGAGGGAATTTTAAAAACAATCACAGATTAAGTTATTACTACTGAAAAAAGCAATCCAGATAGTAATAATCATAAGCTCAACCTTAGGAGAATAATCTGTTGTGTCAAAATGGCCAACATAGAGGCAAGGGAAGCTGTGCCCGATTGAATCCATGCTATAACCTTGTTGATCTCTTTCCCAACTGTGGCTAAATAAACTTCCTTAAGTTTTCCCTTAACTTTGATCCTGCTGAATACTAAAGCTTTATAGCTAATTGGCATTTGCTATGCCTCCTTTATAGAACCCTTACTCCAAAACCTCAACATGGTATGCAAGTGATGTTGGATTCATGTTAGCATGGTACATTAGTATAAGGCCTCAGATATCAGCTTTGTATAGACCCTAAGAAGGACTGAGTGCTCATTGTTTGAGGACCAACCTAGCTAATTATAGAAAAACTCATCATCAAAAGGTTGGCCACCATATGAAAGCTGGTTATTGTTTTGTTTTGGTTTGTTTTTTAGTGTTCCCGCCAACTCATAAAACCAGCATTGACAATTTTCATCCTTTTTGTTTTTCCCTCCATTTGCTAGTAGTGAGGCAAAACCAGTTATTTAAATTTGCATTTATCTTACAAGTAGTGGTTAGAAGTATTCTTTCCTATGGTTGTTGGTACCTTACTAGACATTTCTTCTTTGGAAAACTGCCTGCTTATATCCTTTGACAATTTTTCAAATTTTTTTGTTTGTTTTTGTTTGCTTTTTTAACTAGGGTATCTTCAGATTTCAATTACTTTTCAGGAGTTTAGTGGCAACTTATATATACATATGTGTATGCATATTTATTTCAAATATATATACATATATGCATGAAAATTAGATTTCTTTAGGCTCTTTTCAATAGATAATTAGGTAAAACTATTGCTTCCCAAGGATTTGATAAGTTTGCCAACACCCAAAGTGGAGGATTTATTTACCAGAATATTGATTAGGCTGCCCAAGTTATATAAATGGGATGAAGAGTTTCATATGAATATTAAAACAAAACAAAATCTTTAAGGAATAATAGTATTTTGAGGCTCAGTCTGCATGGATTCAGGGAAGACAAAAGAATCACAAATATGATTGCTTTTTAAAATCAAATTAGCAGATTAAAAGTAGAATGAAAAGTAGTAGGCTAGACTTGTAATAAGATATTCATTATAATTATTCATTCTTGTTAGAGAAATACTTTCTGATTTGCTTGTGTATGAGCTCTATCAGAGGGATTGAAAAGTGATTAAAGGCCAGTATAAATGAAAGATGGGAATGTCTTGGGTTAAGAGAAGGTGTACAGTCTGGTCATATTGAACATCTTTATCAATTATCTCTTAAATCAGAAGATAGTAGTACATGTGATATAAATACAAGGGAACAAGAAATTTACAGAGGGAACTTCAGGGAGTTAGTAATATAGAAAAGAGATTTTAAAAGCATCAAGCTATAAAATGATAAATAATAGGAAAAACAAGTCATCTTTTATGTATTGTTTAAGAGAATAGTTTAAGCTTGTAGGCAATGTAGCAGATAGAGGGCTGTTCTTGGAGTCAGGAAGATCTGACTTCTGTCTCAGATACTTAAAAACTGCCTCACCCTGGGCAAGTTATATAACCTCTCTCAGCCTCATCTGTTTCCTCATTTGTGAAATGGGAATAATAACACCTACCACTCAGGGTTGTTGTCAGGACAAAATAAGATAGCATGTGTAAAGCACTGTATAAAGCTAGCAATGATTATCATATTTATTAAAATAAAAAAACCCTTTAAATGAGTATCAAAGAGCTTGATTAAATGGTATAATAGCCTTTCCTTCACCCCTAGCCCCAGATAACTGTAAGATTTAAAAAATTTGAGTGGCAGTGGAGGAAAGGTTAAAGGTTGCCTATTACTATTGTGTTTTTACTGCCCTCTTTGGGGTGCAGCATGATGTATTGGAAAGCATGCTAGGTTTGGAGAGGAGAGATCTGAGTTCAAAGCCTGGCTCTGCCACTTATTAACTGCCTGGACTTGGACAACTGAGCCTCAGTTAAGTTAACTGTAAATTGAGGGAATTGAACTAGATGTCCTCAGAGATTCCTTTTGTTTCTAAATCTTTGGTCATATTACAGTAAATGGATTGCAGAAATTATGCACTTTATGTGTATCTAATAATTTGTATTATAAAATTTTAATATTCTTAACTTTAAGCAAACTATTAACTAAGGAAATATGCATATGTTATTTTAAGAAAAATGAGTGAAGAGATGATTTCACTCATTTATTATACTTACTTATTATTATACTTATTCAATCATTTGTTTATTTAAAAAGGGAGAGTGTTACTCCATAAAGTTTGGAAACCATTGCTTTTGGTGGTAAGAGCTGTCTCTTTGCCAGGTAGCAACATTCTAGTTTCTTTGTCCTAATCTGAGTCTTTATTTATATTTGTGACTAATTACAAACTTTTTTCTGATAATTACTAACATCATTTTGGATTTGTTAAGAAGTTTTAGATTCTTTAATTCTTTTCTTCTCTTTGAACTAGGTTGTTCATCTTGATGAAAATTATGGAAATGAACGTGCTGTCAGGGAACTGCTGAGCAGAATAGTGCAAAAAGAAGATTGGTTTTCTAAATTTCTGAGTATTCTTCATGAAGCTACCTATGTTCAACTTGCTGAAGACCTCACAGGCATTAACTGCTTGAAAGACAATGAAGGTTATTTCTTTTTTTTATTTAGATGTCAAATGAAAACAAATTTTGATACCTTACCAAAGCGTTGAACATTTAATGAAATTTCTGTTTACATAATGCCAAACATCTAAACTATTAGAATAGTGTCTTTGAGGGCTGGAAGAATTTTAGATATCGCCACTTAACCTCCCTAGGTTTCAGCTTCATCTTCTTTTTTTCTTTTTTTTTTGGCTAGACAGTGGGTTTAAGTGACTTGCCCAGGGTCACACAGCTGGTAATGTCAAGTATCTGAGGTCAAATTTGAACTCAGATCCTCTTGACTCCAGGGCCAGTGCTCTATCCACGGTGCCACTTAGCTGCCCCCAGCTTTATCTTTTAAATGAAGGAATTGGACTAGATAACCTCTGGGCAAGATATTGTAGGGAAGGATATTGTTGACAAGTGATCATTAACAAAACCAAAATATAATATAATACAATATGAAATATTATAAATGTATATGTAGAATAGAATAATATATTGTAAAATACAATATAAATATAATATAATACAATATAAAATATTTTATTTATTTTCAAAAAAAGATTTGCCTTACAGGAGGAAAAGTAGATGATAGTCCGAGTAAAAAGATAAGTTAATTTGGAAATAACTCCTACATTAAAGGTTTCTGCATGACATCTCTACATAGAGAGAAGGACTTCCAGAGCAGGTGTTGTGAGTGAAACCTTTGTCACACATACATTTTACATGAATGCCTCAGTATTATTATGGTCTAAGTTTAAGTCTACTCCTCCCATGGATGCTTTGTGTATTTATGGGAAGGAGAGAACCAGGTTTTAAGAGAATGTTTTCTATTAACTGGCTTTAGCATGTTATTATGTTATCTGAGCATAGTAGTTAGCTGCCCTCTGGGCATGCAAATGGACAATTTGAGCAGAAATTGGGGAATGCTGCTGTTTTCTCCAACTCTTCCCCCTCCCTCCTTCTTTCCCTCACTCTTTCTTCCGCCTTCCCTCCTCTTCCCCTTCATCTCTCTTCTCCCTGCTCGTTTTTTACAGAACAATAGTAGTCCCCAAATTGATGGAGATCACCTTAATTTCCAATTCTTTGCAACAAAATATTCTTGTACAAATGCATCCTTTCCCTTTTTCTTTGCTATGTGGTATAACTGAGTCAAAGGCTTTGCACATTTTAATAGCTCTTAGGGCATGGTTCCAAACAACTTTCCAGAATGACTAGACAAATTCACTACTGCACCAACAATGCACTGATGTACCTGTTTTCCTACAGCCCCTCAAGCATTTGTCAGTTTCCCTTTTTTTGACAACTTTGCCTATCTGGTAGGTGTAAGACAGAACTTTAGAGTTGCTTTAATTTTTATTTCTCTAATCATTATTGATTTAGAGCATTTTTATATATATCTATGAATTTCTTCCTCTGAAAAATGTGTTTTCATATCCTTTGACCATTTATCACTTGGGGAGTGATTCTTAGTCTTATAAATTTGGAATCAATTTCCTATATTAGAGGCATTAGATTATTTGAAGAGAGAAATAACAGTAAGAATGAGGGTGATCAGGAAAGACTGAGGTTACACATGGTTTAATATTAAAGCTGGGGATTCTGAGAATGAAGGGGATTTGAGACATTTAAGGCCTGGGAAGATGGCCCCTACAAGTGTCCTAGCCTATGCAGGAAAATGGAGGCAGAAAGGACTAGTTTGATTAGAAAACAGAGTGTGTAAAGGGGAATAACATGAAATAAGCTTTCAAAAGTAGGTTGGAACAAGATTACAAAGGGTATATTAAACTGAAGAGTTTGCATTTTATCCTAGAAGCTGTCAGCAGGCAATCACAACATCACGAGGCTTATGTGAAAACCGGATTTATTACAAGAGAAATGAACATGCATGTGGAACCCAAAGAGTTCACAGTCCTTAGAGAAGTCTGCATATTTATGACAGTAAAGGAGGAAGAGAAAACAGGAAGGGGTATGTCATGGGAGGGAACAGGTACAGTAAAGCCTGGAAAAGGCCAAAACCACTCTTGTCAGAGAGGAACAGGCAAACTGCTTGGGGACTGCTAGACTGAAGATAAGGGGAGAGTCTGCTTATCTGCAAAAGACCCCACATGTATAAGCATTTTCCTTGTCTAACACAGACTGGCTGGTACCTACCTTCCCTCCCAAGGACACACAGGGAATCTAGCTAGGAGTGTAAAGAACAAATTATGTCAGCGGCAGAGGAGGGGCTCTGTCCTTGACTCATTCAGGGCCTCCTGCATGCTCTGGTCCAGTGTTTCTGGAAAATATGGCAACTCATAAAGACGAGTTCAGGGGATCCTTTAACAGCCCTTAACAAAGCAATAGGGAATCTGATATTTCTTGATCAGAAGAGTGAGATAGTCAGATTTATGGCTTAGGAAGTTTATTTTGACAGCTATGTGGAGGATGGATTTAAGAGGGGAGAGACAAGGCAATGATAGCAGATAAGAGGTTGTTGTAATAGTCCAGGTAAGAGTTATTGAGGGCCTGATCTCAGATTTGAGCCATGTAAGTAGAGAGAATGAGACAGGCACTAACTATATTGTTGAGCTGGAATGAACAAATCTTGGCAACATTTTAAATATTGAGGATGAGGAAGATGGAAGAGAAGAAAATCACCTGAGGTTGAAAACTGGACTAATTAGAGGAATGGTAGTATTTTCCACAGAAATAAGGAAATTTGAAGGACATGTTGAGTTTAAGATGCTTAAGGGACATCAGGGACTTAGTGAGGTAGAATTCCAGCTAAGGAAAAGAATTAGGACTGGACATATAGATATGGGAGTTAAATGCATAGAAATGATAACTGAAACGATGAGAACTGATGAAATAACCCAGTGAGGGTAAAGAGAAAAGAAGAGAGTCAGGACAGAGCTGTATGGGTCCATCCTAGTTTAAGGGGCAGGATATGAGTGATAAAACAACAAAGGAGATTGAGAAGGAGCAGACAGACAGCAATGAAGAGAGCTAGGAAAGTGTGACAGCATGAAAATTCAGGAAAAAGAGTCATCATGAGGAGGGGGTTGTTAATTAATAATGTCAACTTATAGGTCAAGAAGGATGCAGACTGAGGAAAGGTTTTGATTTTGTTTTGCCTATTTATCATTAGTAACTAGACTGAGAAATTTCATTTGAGTAGGGAGGCAAGAGTTACGGCAGACAGTTGAGAAATCAATGGGAAATTGACAACAATATGTATTGCAGTTCTTTCTTCTGTGGCAAAAAATACCTGGAAACTAAAGGAGTAGCCGTCAATTGAGGGAAAGGCTAAACAAATTGTTGTATATGAATGTAATGGAATACTATGATGTAAGAAATGAAGAAAGAGATGGTTTCAGAGAAACCTGGGAAGATTTGTATGAATTTAATATAGAGTGAAGTGAGCAGAAGAATTTATACTATCTGTCAACATTATAAATAACAAATGATTTTGAAAGACTGAAAAAAATCTGATCAATTTAATTATCAATTATGATTTCAGAGGATCAACAGAAAGGTGATGACAGATGAGTCAAATTTGACAAAAGTCAAATGAGACACATTTTAGCTCATTGCCAATATAGGACATTTATTTTGCTTAACTATGCTTATTTGTTATAAGAATTTTCTTTCTTTCATTCTCTTTTTTTTGAGGAGTATAGGTGGCAGGGAGAGGAAAAATGTTTAATAACAAAAAATAAGTGAGTTAGAGGTGATAAAGGAGAGGTAGAAATAAGAGTTACCTTTCCTTAGAATTTGACTAAGGGAAAAAAGAAATGGGATGATAGCTTGAGGGGATGGCAGAGTAAAGTGAAAGATGCTATTACTACTTTAAAAAAAGATGATTGTGAGGCCATTTATAACTACTCACCCACATTCCTATTTCTTCATTTCTGGAAAACCTTGATAGAATGACCTACACATTTAAGTGTGTAGGCAAGCTTTAATAAATGTGTAAGGCAGGCTTTAATAAATGATATTCTACAGTAGTTCTTCACAATTCTTCACAAGCAGCAATTCTTCACAAGTTCACAATTGACTTGAAGATTCAGAATGTATAAGATAGCAGTTTCTTTAAAATCGATTTTTAAAAAGCAGCGGTAGCCAAGGCATAGTGGATAGAGAGCCAGTCTCAGATTTTGGAAGACCTAAGCTTACGACCCATTTCTAAGACATATCAGTTGTGTAACTAGGCAAGTCACATAACTTCTTAATGCTCTAGGGGTAGGCACATCTCTAAGACTATAAATTTAAGAAAAAATGTACTGACTTGCATCTTGAGTGAATTTTCTCTTCCAAGAATTCCCTTTATGAATGAAAACACTGATCCACTCTCTACCCCTTGAAAAAAAGTTTACTTGGTAAGGAAAATATGACCTTAAAGGCTTTCTTCTGAAAAGGAGTATCTATTATTGTCCCATATATATATGTCCCAAGTATATGTTATTATAAGTTCCTTTGAAAGATGATGTCACAGAGATAACTTTACTCAATAATACTCTGATTGTCAATATCTAATTAGACATACAACTAGGAGTCATATCTGCTTATCGGAAGTGTTCTCCAATGTTATGGAGGATCTTTGGCTGAGTCAAAATGGAAGAGGGAGTTCCCACAGATGCCTGAATTTTTCCTGGTATACCTGTTTGCAGGTAACACTCTGATGATTGCATCAAGCCCAAGAACCTTAGACAGACTCCTTACTGAGAGTCACTACCACTCAAAAGAGTTTGATTAATGAGTCATGCTGAAGACCTCAATGGATGAAGAATGTCTGTTGTCTGCTCTAGCCTTACTTTCCTCCTTTCTTAATCTTGACTGTAGTTAATCAGTTCAATATTACACTATCATTTTATTTATCAGTTCAATATTACACTTCCCTTAACTCTCTAACCCCCCACCCTGGATTATACCCACCTCTGCCATTTACATTTCTCATAGGCTGCTGAATGAAAATTATAATCAATGCTGAGTGAAGTCATGCAACCATGCAGACTGGGTCC